TTCTGTTATTAAACGTCGTTTTTCACGCCCGTGCTTTCGATACTTTTAATCGAAACGTTTCTATCTATATTTTTCTGACGCTCCTCGTCGAGGTTAAGGCGTTTTAAGCCCTCTGTCGCCCGGTAATTAAGTGCTATAGACTGGCTGATAAATAATTTAAAGATAGATAAAAATTCATTTTATCACTCTTTATATGTTTTGATTATATAGATCATACCAAATAAAATTTTAGTCACGTGATTAAGTTTGACCGGCACAGCGTTGCCTACTTTTACATATTATCTTTTAATCAAAATATTTTAGGAAACGAAAATAAATTTATTATTAAAATACAGGGTTGTTCACCACATACGACACGGAGTATTGTAGCTAAACGATTATATTTTTACAAATTGTAAGTTTTGGGTTCGATGAAGGACTATTAGAGGTACAATTTAAAAATAATTTTACAAGATACAGAGTGTCCCAAATAAGTAAAAAATATCAAAGTTGTATTTTTTTAAACGGAACACCCTGTATATTATTACATTTTTAGTTTCTACGATTAAATTAAAGGTAAATTTGATTAAGGTTTATTATACTTAAACCTTACCGTTTTTGAAATATTTTCAATTTTGTGAAATTGCAGTAAAAATTTTAAGGCTTCATTTCTCCAAGGGTATCAAAGTTTTTAATACTAAATATTTACTGAAGTTTATTTATTGATCAGTTATTCTGTTACAATAATAAAAATAATACTACCTTATACAGAGTGTCTAAAAATTTATTTTAAATAATTTCTAGCTTTAAACGCCAATAACTTCTTTAATTTAAATGGAACGCCCTGTATATTTTAGGAGAATCAGATGCTCAATTTAATTCTCTATAAAATTGTATTATACCATTTTTTACCTATCCCTTCAAGTTGTCGTAGAAAATGCATTTTCTTATAATTTAGACCTCATTTATCAATAATATACCCATGGAGTATTGACATTTTAGATTGTTTTTTAAGCAACAAATGTACAAAATGTACAGGCTAGTAATATTATCGATTTTAACAAAACGATAATATTACTAGCCCATTTGTATGCAAAAACAAAACTATTTAAATCTTTATAAAAGTGTATACCATTAATTAAATATAACACCATTATTTCCGTCCATATAATAATTAATTTCATACTTAATTGTGTTCGTTAATAAATTATTCTAAATAAATGTGGATTTGAGACAGAAATCAATATAATAATAAGTTATCAAAATGAACGTCTCTGTTGTTATAAATAAGCATTTATTAAAAAATGAAATATCATTTTTAAGGTGTTACTTTTTACCACACTGTCTAATACACAAACAAAACTCAGTTTTTTAGTATTTGGGGCAATTATTATTAATCAACGCAAACAGTCAGTTAATGTAGTTTGAATACTGGAATCATATTAATTGGTCCTCTTTAACAAATATTTAAACAGTTTTTTTTATTTTTTAATGAAATATTACAGTTGAGGGTTGGAACCTTTGGTGTTACACAGCAAAATAAAAACACTAAATCACCACAATACACCAAAACACTTTTACTTTTACACTGGACGCGCGTTTCGTTAACCATGTTAGCATCATCAGCAGATGATTATAAACTAAAGTTTATGGTGTACTGTGGTGATTTAGTGTTTTTATTTTTTTTTATTTTAATGAAATAAACGAATTATATCGACAATATTAGTATCTGTACTCTTTAAAAATTTGGTACATCTTTAAGAATAATCTAAAATGTCAATATTCCATGGGTATATTGATAAATAAGTTCTAAATTACAAGAAAATACATTTTCTACGGAAACTTAAAGAGATAGGTAAAAAATGGTATAATACAATTTGATAGACAATTAAATTGTGCATCTGATTCTCATAAAATATACAGGGTGTTCCATTTAAATTAAACAAGTTATTGCCGTTTTAAGTTAATAATTATTTAAAATAAATTTTTAGACACTCTGTATAAGGTACTATTATTTTTATTATTGCAACACAATAACTGATCAATAAATAAACTTCAGTAAATATTTAGTATTAAAAACTTTGATACTCTTGGAGAAATGAAGCCTTCAAATTTTTGCTGCAATTTCACAAAATTGAAAATATTTCAAAAACGGTAAGGTTTAACTATAATATCAATCAAACAATATCAAATTTACCTTTATTTTAATCGTAGAAACTAAAAATGTAATAATATATAGGGTGTTCTATTTAAAAAAATACAACTTTGATATTTTTTACTTATTTGGGACACTCTGTATCTTGTAAAATTATTTCTAAATTGTACCTCTAATAGACCTTCATCGAACCCAAAACTTACAATTTGTAAAAATCTCATTGTTTAGCTACAATACTCCGTGTCGTATGTGGTGAACAACCGTGTATAAACAGTTATTATTTATATCAACAAAACTCACCTCCTTAACAGTACTTAATGGACATAAATGGCCATAACTACCCCTTTCCGGTTCAAAATATTCTAATAAAGTTGAGCTGAATTTTTTACGGCTATTAAGCTATCTTGCCCACTTCGCACTTCGCACTAAAAGAGGTTCTAAAAAGAACAACGTTCCACTGCAAAGTCTGCTAGTAAAAAATTTTAAACTTAAAATATCACAACTCAATTCATTTCAACCAAAAACTCGTAATACAAAACTAAAGTGTCAAAAGGAATGACAATGTCAGGAAATAAATAAATAAATATGACAACTTAACATTTATTACAGCAGAGCTACCACCTGAATTCCCAGCGGAAATTTTAAATTCCAGTTAGTCAGCCCGGCACCGAATATGTCCATGGTTAACAAAAATTAATTTAAAAATCGCAGCCTGGATAACGTAACTAAAAGTTTAATCGGTATCGAATATAAAATATGTTGTCTATAATGGTTTTATTAAAAATTAGAAACATTTCTGAACAATAATTGCCGGTATTGTTAGAAGCTGTTAATTTGATGAATTTCCATGAGGTAATCTATTAAAATATATCAAAAAAGAAAAATCTCCTTCCGAAATAAGCCTGACGAACTATTTAAGATTATGTCCAGCGCAACCGGCCATAAGTTTGAAACAAACAGCATCTCCCAGTTTCCGCCAAGAACCCTTTTTACGATAAATCCGCTACGCTCTAAAGCAACGAAGGAAAAAATGAATGAAAAACATGGCGGTCGGTGCTCACAAACGCTTCTGCTGCCTTCTCCAATCTATATACGCGACACTCATAGATATCACACTTTCCCACCGAGCACGACAACACGGAAGCTGCACGGCCGTCGCCTGCCAGGGCCGCACTTAAATCACCCGATAGAGTCCGGCCCGGCTCTGAAAAGCCGCGACCAAGATCGCTTTCTTTCTTTATTTCCTTCGGAGATCGCCCAAATCGATTAGAGATGTGCCCGCCATATAATGCTATCGTTGGGTTGGATCGGAGCGAGATGAGCCGTTTCAATATAAATCGCCAGACGAAAAAAAGTGTTAAGCTAAGGAAAGTATGTTTGGTTTTATAAAGAATGCCGGTTGTCCAGTCCTGGGAACAGATTCTAATAGAAAAAGCGCATAAGAATTATTAGTATATATTTCCTAATTCATAAAAGCAAAGAACATTATACCATCATGGTCACTTCATCTGCGTGGTCTGTATTTTAATGCAAGTGACAAAGATAAATGGATGAAGTTCTAGAAGATAATTATGGAGAAAATGAGAGTTAAAGTTTTTTAATGTTTCTTAATTAAAATAAAACAAGCTGGAGAAGAAAACTTGATACAATGCTTTACTATATTTTAAATTGTTTAATTGCAAACTAAAGTAACTCAAAATACAACTGTGGTCGTTTTTAAGAATGTTTGTTGATACTTTTTTGGACTTGAACCATTTTATCTCTGAAGGTATTTGAAATTTGCGATATAAATTGGTTCATCGGTACATTTTTCTTCGTCGTTAATGAAATCAACAGATCGTTGATTTCACATTGCCTATTAATAGTGTTTTCTTCGATTGTTATAAAAATTATGCTTTATCCTGCCTATTACAAATTAACGTTATCCCGCCTATTACATAGGCGGGATAAAGGGAAGAAGATCTTCCATGTGTTGCCTTCTAGAGTGTGTTACGTTACGTCTATATGAAATGATAAGATTTTTCTTCCTCGTGCAGTTTTATTCAGGCCAACAATATGTCAGATATCTAAGTATTTGTAAGAAAAAACAGCCAGTGGTTGATGTAGTAATAATGAAAATAATAATAAATCAAACTATACTTTCAGAATCGATAGAATCATATCTACCTTTCGGATGGTTGGTAATCTGATTCGCATGGTGCAAATGGTTCAGACTTTGTTTCATTATCATCCATTTTATCAAAAAAATTATTTTTTAGCACTAAAATTTAGCTCGCGCGTTAAAATCGCTCACAGCGTGGACAAATTTTATGGACTTGATCCAGTTCACCTCTGAAAGAAATCAACAGAATATTGAGAAACCAAAGAGAAACAGGCTATAGCTGATTAATGCGTGAAGTATGACTTGATTCCATCTCTCTACTGGAAAAAACCATATTTTATAAACGTATAAAGACGATTAGGTATCTTAAAATAGTAGGAAGTTGGGCTTGATACATTTTAATTCTGACCACTCCAAATATAAATGACTGGTTGACAAATAAAGAGACAAAATTATGGTATTATAATTATGTTATGTAGAGAAAAAAATACTATTTTAAAAACTTAATCTAATATATCTAAGCTAAATATAATCTATTACAGCTGTAGTAAAATGAGTAACTTACTAATTGTGAAAAATTGAGCTCCAACCCTAGATGCAACATTTTTCGTAAACACCTACTTGTGCAGTTTGAAATTTTGATGTTTGTGGCCAATGATTGTAAAGGTGACAAAGTTTCAAACAACATTTATCTCAGGCGTTTGACTATTTTTACTGTTTATTTTGGGAACTCTATATTAACAATATTCATTCTTTCTTTTTCAGATTTATTCATACCTACAAACACAATGTTATACCTCAAAGAATCCATAGTTTTCCTGCTGTTGGCAGCGTTGATATCGTTCAGTCGCTGTCAAAACGCCAGTTCGGCCTCCCAGGAAGAATCGGGTGAAAGCTTAGAAGGGGCGGAGAAACAAGGAGCTCCACCTCCATCCCCCTTGGACGACTGCGACCCTGAGATGATAGGGTGAGTAGCGCCATTTTGTTTTTACCTGCCTTGTAGGAGCAGCTTTACCCTTAACGACGTTGTAGAATAGTGTGGGATATAAAGTTAATGGGATAAAACATACTAAATTCAGTAAGAAATAAAATTCTCTATGTCCCACGGGAATTATAAAGTAGTAATAACCTCGAGCAATTATTGTCCCTCGGGACAGAAATCTTAATTAATATTTAGAGCATAAATGATAATTCTATCATCTTCTCTAGGTTTGAACTGATAACTGGCTATGTGTTCTCGTCACCCGGAAATGTCATAGACTCGATTCCAGGCACCCTGATGCTGACGGATTGCCTCGAAACGTGCCAAGGCAACGAGAGCTGTCAATCCGTCAACTACGAGACAGGATTGTGCGTGCTGTTCGGATCCAATGCCGACGTACTACCTGGTAAGTACCATTGAATATCAATTTAATGTATATGCAAATATAATTTGAACCTTTAATAAAAATTTCTTGACAGATATTTGTTACAATCAAAAATAATTAGGCATAGTTTGTTCCACAAATATTGTAAAAAATTGTTTAATCAACAAAAAAACCATAATTAGCATTTGCCATAAAATAGCGAGCAATTTGTTACAAAACCATATAAATTATTCATCACTGTAATAACAACACTTCAATCTATTTCCGTATTGTAACGGAATTTTAAATTATGTCTTTATTTTCGAGAAAATTTAGCCCAAACATGAGAAATATTTTGTTGATGTTTGACCACCAAAAACTTAAAAATAATGAAGTTGTCTAAAAATGTGCTACAATATGGATATAGTATAATCCTTTATATTCAATTTCCTTCTTCATTTGTGTAAAAATACTTAGCCAGTTTTACAAAAAACGTTAAATGCCGAATACTTATTTTGCTACTTTTTCGGACTATATAGTGAAATGGACTCTTAAGGTTGATTTCAAGTTTGATCTCATAAGAGGATTTATTAGATCAGTCTTTAGTCATTATGCTAATCAGTTAGCTCCACTACCTACTACGATGATTTAAATATTGGGGTCATCAACTTAATACAAAAAAATTCGGCAGGAGATTATTTACTTAGATTCCCACCTAAGCACAAACAAGTGTCATTAATACTCTTCAAATAAATTAAAATAAAAAATCAAATACTATGACGCATCATTCAAACCTGTCTAATAGCTGATACTATTAACTGTTAAATTGACACATAATATGTTTTATTCATTCAAACAAATCTTACAGCAATCTTTCAATATATCAACAGATAATTTGATGTTGTCAACATGTGTTTTTTTTTATTTCATTGAGTTTCGGATCATTAGTTTGTGATGTTTTCCAATCCAGTTTCGTTTCTCATACGTTTCTAAAAATATCTTCGGTTATTAAAAACTGAGTTTAATCTTTCTGGTTCGCCTGGTTTTGATCCAAATGAATTATTAATTCGTAATAGGGATTAATTTGCATTTTATGGCCTTTTAAACTATATATGATATACAGAATAAAACTAGGAATAGTGTGTAAGTATATCAGGTTCTTTACAGCTGATCGGGTTTGAATTATATGTTGCAAAACCCCACTACACTTAAAAAATATAAAGCTTAATTCAAATTGATTAGTTTTATGACATAAGTATTAAAAGTGATATTTTTTGCAAAAAGAATAACTCTGGAAAACTTTAAAACTCTTAAAAATTCTCCTAAAATTCCTTGATGTTATATGCAATGTTGCCACATTCTACGATGCCCACATTCCGCATATTTGTCTAGTAAATAAGTTCACAGTCATTTTAATTTTCTCTGCAAAACATTACCAAATTTAACTATAAATTATATAAATAGCATTACTAACAATAATTATAAAGAAACGCAGAATTGAATATGACAACAGCACAGCTGTTTACTTAACGGTAAGTTAAAGTCTTGGGTAGTATAGGTTTTATCGAGTAAAATTGTATCGCCGTATAGAGTGAAAAAAAAATTACGGGCAAGCTGATTTTTTTCAGAGTTTGTCAGCGACTGTTTTCTGACTGTAAAATTAACAAAATCGGAAATTTTCCCCTGGCGGTTTTTGAGCAATGGGGTGTTTTTTTTTAAACTGTACTACAACAAAATAATTAGACGCAAATTGTACATAAGAACATTCTCTATAAGTTCGCCTAATGAATTTTTTTATAAGTTTACTATTTCCGGACTTAGCGGCCGTTTCATGAGCCCTTTAGGGTGGTTTTCAAAAAGTTTGTTTTACAGCAAATTGACCCTGAAAGTTGTTCATAATAAATGAACAAGCAACTTTTCCTCATGATTTTTTTTGTAGCTTCATTATTTTTGGAGATAACGTCCCTGTTCATGAACAAATTAGGGTAGTTTTCAATGTTACTCTTTTTCCAGCAAATTCACCCTAGGAAACTCGTTCAAAATATGAGTACATATACCTTTGCCTTATGAACTTATTTTGTAACTTGACTATTTTTGGAGATAGCGCCCAGATCAGGAACAAATCTGAGGAGCCAACGCCAGGTCCATCACACAAAAGAAGACGATACAAATAAAAAAAATCATAATATTCATTCACTTGATGAATTCCATGTTTCGTTTTGGGGAAATAAATATATATCATAGGGAAGTTTGCATGTAATTTTAATATGAACACCTTTAAGTTGGTAAATTTGTAGAACTAAACAAAAATTATAAAACTACCCCAATTTGTTCATGAACTGGACGCTATCTCCAAAAATAATGAAGCTACAAAAAAAATCATGAGGAAATGTTGCTTGTCCATTTATTATGAACAACTTTCATACGGGTCAATTTGCTATAAAGCAAACTTTTTGAAAACCACCCCAAAGGGCTCATAAAACGGCCGCTAAGTCCGGAAATAATAAACTTATAAATCTTTTTTTTCAAAGGACAATTTTATTGGATAAGTTTGTTGACTTACCTATATTTGGGATTATAGCAGTAATGGTGAAATAATGATAATAAGTAATCTAAGTAAAAAATAGAGAAAATATATCAAATGGGAACAAAACTAGAGTAAACTTCAATCATGCTTATGACATATCTTATTATATCTATTTATGATCTTACGGTACTTGCAGTTATTTATTCGTTCCGCACAATTTTGGAATGACGCCGGCGACGACAAATCTTCGTGCCATTACGGAGAAACAATTTTGATTGGTGTAACGTAAAACTAACGATTCAAATCGGCAAAAACGGCAACAGTCAGCCAATAGCGAATTACGATATAATTTAGAATTTATCGACGCTCTTAGTCTGTACGGATTTCGTCGAACGGGAAATCTCTACCTCTCTGTCAGACCGTAAACAAGTCAATGGCGTTGCATGCATTTTCAGACACTCTTATGTATTTCAATTTTCGTTATTTCCATCGCACCCTGTATTTAGAGCTAGAAAAACTGTCGTAAACATATCAACGACGTACTATTATCATGTTTCTTTGTTGCACTCGCAGCACTGCAACTCTATCTATCCTTCGTCAGGAACCATCGTTCACGAGCCAAATTTGAATATGGATTTTAAAAATTGATATACAACAAAGGGGTAAACCAGGGGCCGAAAAGTGAAATAGCAAAAGCGGTTCCACCGTTTCCACGGAAATTTCAAATAAAATAGTTCCAGCCTCGGGCGCTAGGTGGTAGTACAATTAATTTTTAGGTTAAGAAGTTGCTACTAGTTATTGCCAGATGGCGTTCAATCCGATTTTTTTGTAGTTTCCATAGTTTCCAACGGCCATTGTCATACTATTGTCAAATTCTCAAAAAATATTGTCGTTGTCATAGCGCCAATCATAATATTATCACAAATGATTAATGAATGATTATCAAAACGTTTTTCAAACTATAATTTGTTATAATATGTGTTTTTATTAGACAATTCCTTTTGTTTGTGGTCTTAAAAATATAATGTAAGTCTTTTATATTTTTGCCATCATTTAAGTACCTATTTATATTTACTCCATTTACAAAACTTTAGGCGTTTTACATTGGTCTTGTTTTATTATAATAAACGATGTTTAAATATTTGACATATAAATAAAAACTTTAAATAATAAATAATATTTACACATGTTTGGCTTTAATTTGACTTGGGGTGAATTTAAAAAAGCTTAATTGTAGTTTATAATTTTCCAAACAAATTGAATTCAAATGTTAAATATATGAATTTTTCAGCGAGTTATATTTTTTTAATTTCTACTATCATCCGTTCGCTTCTAGCCACCCTATCTCGGTTAATTTTAATCTGAGCAAAAAAAGTATAGAGATCATTTCTATGTAAAATTTGACGCTCCACAACTTTTATTTGAACTTTTTTTTTTCTAGTCCTTACCGTTTTTTCGAATTTATTTTTTTATTTTACCTCTTCTCGGGGGTGGATTTAAAAAAAATATTTCACAATTCGTTTTTAGATTTTTTTTAAACTTCGCATTTAAAAGCCTGTTTTTTTGGACTAAAGAGACTAAGACAAATAATTGTATTTATTTTTCTCTCTGAAAATAATAAATTAAAAATAGTAATTATGTACTGTTATTTTTCATCATTCCACTCCATAACTATTTTTTCAGACAATAATTCCCAACCTTAAAGAAAACAAGCCGTGGCAAAATGTATTTTTCGCATTCCTCTTGCATTATATATGAACCACAATAACAACCCAGCCATCTCCGCTACATTATCTGCTCTGTAGAGAATATATATGACGAACGGTTGCCGTTGTTGTAGTGGTACTGGTGCTCTCAAGTACCCGGGGTACTTGTCGGGTTCTGCTCTTCACGGTACGTTGACCGGGGTACAACTGACACTAGGGTTCTATACAGGACAGGGTTACTATTGAATTAATCGATTGTGTCGAAAATTTCCCTGTCTCTTTGGACAGGCTTTAGTTGATTTATACTAAAGAAATACAGAAAATACCATGTGTTCGTAAAAAAGGCGTCAAATATGGTTGGGAAATGAACGTCAATGATAATTCTTAAGAAGGCTGTAATTTATTTTTATAATATTGAGCAGAAATGATTTTTTTCCATAGCAACTGTTAAAATTTCATTATATCTATCAAAAATGGTATATAAAATAGTACTTTAACTGCCAGGGTAGATTAAATGATACTTTAACAGCGAGGATAGGTTAAAAACTTTATTTCTTCTCGTTTTCTAATTGCTTCCATTTTTGAAAAATTTTGAATTCCTTTTCATAAGTTATTCGGGATTTAAATGGAAGTAGTTTGGATATGGCGTTTGTCGCCTCAGCCTGAATATCTGTTCGTAATTTACTTATTTCGTTTTGAGCCATTTCTGGCTCCAATTCAATCAGCAATCGACACGAAAGAGAATTAGAAAATATTGGGCGCGTTCAGGGAACACAGCCGCTGACATTCAGCGTAGAATTTCGCTGACC